GGGGAGGGGGAGGGGGAGGGGAGGGGGAGAGGGAGAGAGAGGGAGAGGGAGAGAGGGCGAGGGCAAGGGCGAGGGAGGGAGAGAGGGCGAGGGAGGGAGAGAGGGCGAGGGAGGGAGAGGGAGAGGGAGGGGGATGGGGAGAGGGAGCATACTTCTGTAATAGTTGCAGAGAGGGGGGAAAACTTTAATAGGTCAGACCAAGAAACAGACAAAGGAGAGCTGAGTTTACCTAACATGAAATGCTGACTGACCGTTGTGAAGTGGTGTATATGGGGAAAGATGGAAAACTGGGGTTGGGTGTGGGAATGACTTGGAGTGCCTGGCATCTTGAACAACGGGACTCCATACTGAGACTTTTTGTGGCAGGAGGTGCAGGTCAAACTTGTAGAACTGGAAAGGGCTTTGGTTCATTCAAGCTGTTTGCATGTAGGCTCTGGAGGTGTGGTCGGTGTTTAATTTTTGCAGGATGGATGACCACAATTTGTGCACAGGCAGAGTCTAAGTACTTACAGCTTGTGTTTGTAAAGACTTTGGACAGCAAGTTTGATTGATATGGAGAGACTGGGTTAATGCCATTATGCCTTCCACATGTTGGTTGTGTCTAAACTCAAAATATATGCAACTTTGCCTTTTTCTTTGGATATATAGGCTGTCTAATGCATGGTGGGTTGGCTGGGGAACGCTGGGAATTGTAGGAGGTTTCTATCAGCACCTGGCTAGGATTGCACCATAAGTGGAGATACTTGAGCCCCGATGGACAGTTTTGAACACAGATGTGTCTGTAGTGAGAACCAATTGACAAAGGCAAAGGAGGCAGGCAAAAATCCCCACCCCGGAATGATGAAGGGAAACATCTCCGTGTGGAATTGAGAAACGGCTGATTGCAGTTCCGCTGACAGACTGAAAGAACAGACATTTCAGCACTCAAGGTCACTCCTCGGGAATGTAAAATTGCTGGAGAAATTGTGTAAATCTGTGTAATGTTTCCAAGAGCAGAGACAATTGTCTCTGCTCTGCTGGCATGGCAAGGCTGAGGTAATTCGGCATTTGTCTTCTTGTTTGTAATGGACATAAACAGGTACTTGGGTGTGCATTATGCCACTCCACTTCGAGTAGAAAGCTGCCTCTGATGAAAGCAGTGCTCTGATCGGCTTGCCCTTGCACAGAGCATCCTGGAAAGGAAATGCACTCCGGTGCCATCAGGAGGCGGTGGAGCCTCCCTTTCTCACCATTTCACAGCAGAAGCAGTAGATGAGGAAAGATGGCTTTGCGCCTAGAGAACAGGCAATGGTTTTCCTCAAATGATCTTTGCAAAGCAGTTCTTAGGTGTCTTATTATTACTGTTGTTACACTACATTTATACCCCTTTTTTTGCTCCTGCAAGGAACTCAGAGACCTCTGTTACATGGACCTCTTTCTCCTCTCCATTTAACCTCACAACAAACCTGTGAGTCTGGGAGTCCGTGACTGGTCCAAAGTCACCTAGTGAGGTCCATGGTTGAGGGGGCTCCATGGCTAGAATTCACACCTCCCAAGTCCCACTCCAACACTCCAACCTCTGCACCACATGAGCTTTCAAGCACATTCTGCCCCTTGATGATGGATACATATTTGCATGTTAAAAAGTGTTTGCATGTTAAAAATTTTATGTTTATCATGTTGTGGGTCACTCTGAGAACTTCGGCTGTTGGGCATTCCAGAAATGCAATGAATGAGTGAATGAAGATTCCTTCCCTGAGGAATTTACGATCTAACATTTGACATGGGGAACTATAGATGTGGAGGCAGGGGTAAGCAGTGAAACAATATGTGGTTGTTGTAGCTGCATATACTTAGGCTTAGTGGCAAGCTAAGTTGTAGTAGGACATG